ATATATAATGCAAGCAAACGTTTAAAACTTTAAATAATGAAAAATTAAAAATATTTCAACCTTTAAAAACCCACATGCCGGAGATAACCAGAGTTCACCACCGTGTTGGGGGTTTTAATAAAAGTCAAAGTCGATTCATCTGGAACCATCTACTCTTTCTTTATGTCAGCATTTACGTATCCAACTATCCATACTTCTCCCTTCGTCAAGTCACATACTTCTTCCTCCCACCATATTCACACACATAAATACAAAAACACATCGTAAATTTAGCAATCTACGATTTTCCTTACAATTCGCAGTTTTCATCGTAATTGGTAAACCCATTAGAGGTAAATTCTCTCGAATTTTCAATCTGAGCTCGATTCTTTTCAGTTTGATTTATCTGTCTTGAAGAAAACATGATTCTTACGCCTTGTATAGATTTACATATGTCTCCTTTTCAGATTTTGATCAATTTAGATACATGGGTATCCTTTCTAAGTAATTTATCCAAAATCTTTTCTTTTCCTCGCGTTTTTCATCTTATATATGGTCGAATTCGGTTTTTTCCTTCTTATTAGCCCTTGAATTGCTTCCGAATTTTATAATCCTGTTGATTAATGCTCTGGGTATTGTGTGGTTGGATGCTTTTACGATGATCGAAGCCTTAATTTTGTAGTCGATCAATATATGAAGTTGAGATTGAATATTAGTCTCTTTCAATGCAATTTCGAGCCCTAAAGATATAACTTTGACATGGATAAAACATTGAGTTCAATGAAGATGCTACTTTGTAATAGGCACTTATTGTTAGTAATTTAGGGTTCCGATTCAAGTTTCTGGTTAGTAATAGCCACCTACTTCTTTCAGGAACTAAAAATGGAGCGCGAAAGGAATTCCAATGATATATCGGTTACATGGAGAGGGAAGAATTATGTTGCGACTATGAATTTAGATGCCACTCTCGAAGAATTAGGGCACGAATTACAGAAATTGACTGCAGTGAAACCAGATACTTTGAAGCTCATTGTTCAATCCCATAAATCATCAAAACTGTTCTCTCCATTTTCCGATCAACAATCCCATCTCACTTTGCAAGAAACATCCATTCTTGAGGTGCCAAATCTTTCTTTTTGTATTTTTCTAATACTAAAACAAAATGTACATACCCTTGTTCTTAATCACCTACTTTATACTTCTAGGGGAAACCTATACGGATGATGGGAGTTCCAAAAGAAGAGATTGATCAAGTTCTAGAAAGTTCTAGAACAGACATGAGGATAGCTGGATTTGATGAAGAAGAGAAGCGAATGAGGCAAAGAATGTCAAACGGGTTTGATTCCCCATTGAAGCTTCCTCAAGGAAATTATATTTTTGGTGATTTTAAAACACTTGATCTTCCAGGAATCAAGGTATTCAATGATTTATCCATTCATCATATACTTTCATCTAGTTTTAATCAACATTGACATGATTATATTTATATCAATTACATGTGTTTTATAGTTAAATCCTCCACCTTCAGAAGCACTCAGACTAATGCACACACTTGCTGCAGATCGAGGAATTGTAGCTGTCATGAATAAGGTATTGTATAGTTTTATATTTTTATAAACACTTTTTATAATCTATAATCTTATATCTTATTTGTTTATTAAAAAAAAAGCATAAATGGCGTGTGGGAATCATGACTGAAATGGCTCCAGAGGGTTATGTTGGTGTAAGCCCAGTATGCATCCTTGGTCTTAACAAGGTAAAACTCACCACCAATTTTATAAAAAAAAAAAAACAAAATATAAATATCAGTTTCTTACTTTTTTTTTTTTTTTTTTTTAACTTTTTTTTTCAGAATAAAGGTGAGGAGATATCTTTGCGCCTTAGAACTGATGACCTGAAGGGCTTCAGAAAATACCAAAGCATTAAAAAGACTCTTTTACATGAACTTGTAAGCATCTTTATCAATTCAAGCTTCTATTTTTATAGAAGGGTGCTCTCTTTTTTACTAAAAAACTCTTCTTTCTTTCAGGCTCATATGGTTTTCTCTGAACATGATGCTAAATTCTATGCTCTTGATAAACAGGTAACAACACAAAAAAAAATCAAACTTTGAATCAAAATTCAAAACCCTTTTTGCTAATCTTGTTTCACTATGAACAGCTTAACCTTGAGGCCAATTCTCTAGACTGGACAAGATCCACGGGTCACACCTTAAGTGGGTCCCACACAAATCAACAATATGAACCAAATTTCCATGTTGAAAATAATAATTTCTCCCATAAACTTGGAGGAAACTCATCAAACATTTCACTAGCAAATGCTCGAGCTTCATCAGTTGCTGCTGCTTATAATCGTTTAGTAATCACATCCATCAATCCATCAACAACAGCATCTGAAACCCATCAAGAACCAGATCCTGATGATTCTATGGAACTTATTGAGCAAAATTACGAACCTGACCCTGATGCTTCTATTGATATCATTGAACAAAATTACGAACCTGACCCTGATGCTTCTATTGATATCATTGAACAAAATTACGAACCTGACCCTGATGAACATGAAGTGGTTCAAATTCAAGAACCTGATCCAGATGAGAGTGTAGAAACTGAAGTACCTATGGAGTCTGAAACTAGAATTATAACTTGTGAAAGAATTGAGGGGAATTTTAATTTTGTGTCTGAAAATGAAATGAAGATGGAAAGCAATGAATTTGAGCCAGATACTGATGATGAAGAGCTGCAAAGAATTCAAGATCCTGTAATGGTGGCATGTAATCGATTGAAAAAGTCGATTCAGACCCTGCAATCTGAAGTTAGTCCTTCAGAGGCTTCAATGGTGTTTCAGACTTTGGTTAAGATAGTGAAGAATGTTATTGAACATCCGGATGAAATAAAGTTCAAGAAATTACGCAAGGTTTGTCATAAGATTTTCAAGAATCATAGTTTTTTTAAAGATTAAAGACTCGTATTTTTTGGTTATTTAATTATTTTCTGTTTGGATGATTTTTTTTCAGGCTAACCCTGTGATCCAGAAGAACATAGCAAATTACAATGGTGAGCATCTTCTCTTGAATCTTGATTGATTTTGTGATTTCAACTTTTTTATTAGCATGACTTAATTAGGGTTGGAATTAATCTTGACATAATGACTTTATGGGTTAAGATTGATGATTGTTGTCAAAATAGATGGATTTTGTGAAAATTGTTTATTTGGGATGTAAGGGTAAAATGGTCATTTAATTAGATTTGTGGAGTAGTATAGATCTTAGGGTATGCTCGGTAAAGGGTAAAATGGTCATTTAATATCGACCAGACGGAAAAGAAACAATACTTTATCTAGACTTTATGGGTTAAGTTTGATGGTTGTCAAAATTGATGGATTTTGTGAAAAATGTTTATTTGGAATGTAAGGGCAAAATGGTCATTTAATTAGATTTGCAGAGTAGTATAGATCTTAGGGTATGCTCGGTAAAGGGTAAAATGGTCATCTAATCTCAATCAGACGAAAAAGAAACAATACTTTATCCAGACTTGATGGAAAAAAAAAGCAGAAACAACTCGTTAATTACAACTACTTTTTTCAAACACTTCTATACAAATAAAAGAGCTTAGTTGCATATTATTATTATATATAATAAAAGCAACTAGCCTATGAATAATATATTTTTGGGTTTTAGACTTTGGCCACACTGGTTTCGTATGTTTGTAGGTTTGGTCCCTGTGTAGAAAATAAGATACAAAAGTTGTCCTTTTTTTTGATGTGGTAGGTGCAATGGAGATATTGTTTTTGATTGGTTTTTGTGAAGATGTTGTTCAAGATGAGATTGGAAGAGCGGAAGCTTATTTGGTATTGAAAAGGAATGATCCGGGATTGTTGTGGTTGGCTAAATCTTCATTGGAGACATGTGTTGCTTTTTAGATTTTTGTTAAATGGTGATTTGATTATTGGTTGTTGCATGTTTTTCTCTTGTACAAAATATAATAATGGGGTAGTATTTGGAATTGTATATGTATTGTGAACCGAGGGCTTGTTGTATATCGATTGAATAAGTGTTTAGAGGCAATTTGGTCGTATTAAAGGCTTCAAACTATTTGTCATTTTTTATTCCAATGTACAATATATAGTTTTGGTGCAAAATATATCATTTATCATTGTTTGTACTCTTTTAGAGGGTGAGAAAAGGGTAAGGGGAGCTTATCTTTCACTCTTTCTCCTCGTGTGGTTGATCAACTTTTTTTTATAACTTTTGTTTAATTTTTTTTAATATTTATTAAATTATATATCTATTAAAGTTATAAAAAATATGTCAAAATTCATGCTTTTAATATCTACTAGTATTTACTATATATGTCTATACAATGCTTATTTGTATACTTTGCCCTCCTATTTTCATTTACTATATATGTCTATACAATGCTTATTTGTATACTTTGCCCTCCTATTTTCAGTTCAATTATTATTATTATTATTTTTTTCGCTGGCCACTCTTTATTAAATTTTCTATCTTTTTCTTCCTTGTGGACTAATGTTTTACAATTTGTATACACGTCATCTAAGCCGAAATAAGCTTTATTTTATTCTATTTTTCTTCATTTTTTCACTGAAGATCATGTATGAAAAAAAACTCATATTGTCTATCATTTACCTCTTTCCTGCCCTATTATTATGTGATTAGATTAGATTAGGGTAGTGTTATCGTTATTGTTTGTTGTTTTTTATATTTGAACCATTCAACGAAATTTTTTAAGTTCTATTTTTAACTATGGGTGTTCAAAAATAACTGAATCCAAATATCCGATCCGAAAATGCGAAGATCCGAACTAAAATTATCCGGATTTTCGGGATATCCGGTTTTCCGGATTCGGATACGGATGTTCATTTTATAAAATTTCGGATATTCCAGATATTCGATATCCGAAAATCTAATTTTTTTATATATTTAATATTTTATTTTATTATAGTAAAATGAAGAATTTAGGGTTAAATGTGTAATTTTTTCTTTTGTTACTAGTTACAATGATGGGTAATTTCTGTTTCTTTTACTGCTGGAACGAAGATATTTAGGTTGCGTTTAATTACGGAAAAACAATTTTTCATTTCCTATTTTCTGTTTTCCGTTTTGAGTTTTCGTTTTCCGTTTTCATTGGAAAATTTAGAAAACGCGTTTAATTAAAACTTATTCATTTTTCATTTCCGGTTTCAGAAAATTAGCTAGAAAACGTGTTTTGATGTGTATTTTTCTATCGGTTTACATTTTAGAAAATGGTAGTAGTGGTAGGGTGAGGTTGGGTGGGGTGGTGGTGGATTTGATGGTGGCGACGGCGGTGGTGGGGGCGGTGGAAGTAGTAGTGGTGGTGTGGATGATGACGATGGTGGCGGTGGTGGCGATGATGGCGACAGTTATGGTGGTGGTGGGGTGGTAGTGGTGGTGGCAGTGATGGGGTAGTGGTGGATATAATGGTAGGTCGAAATTTACGGTAGTGGTGTGTGTGTTTTTATGGGGGTAGTGGTGGTGATAGATGTATGTGTGTTTGTGGGGGTGAGTGTGTCGGTGTATTTGTAGAAGTGGGTGT